TAGATCTACTTTACTTGATAAAGTAAAGATAAAGTGCCACCCCTATGTGCGATAAGACTATCCTTTTAAGATTATCGTAGAGCTTTCGACGGCAAATATTTTCAAAAAAAAAGTTGAGACGCCATTATTTTCTTAATTCGAAAGACATTAAAAACAGTAAGAAGTAGCACTATCATGCATTTTGTTTTCCTTTTCATTATAGAATAAACCATCAAAAGAATTCAACAGAGTTTGGAGAGCTTTATACGCAGTACCTATTGAAATCAAAACTAAGATTTTATTATATTTTTGAGGAAAGACTTTTGCAATACAAAAAAAACTTTTTTGGGACACTCGATATTTCAAAGTATTTGATATTTTGATTATAATACGGTCATTTCTCAATGAGATTCAAAATGTTTTTTTTTTCTCTTAATATGATCAGAGAAAAAAGGTCTAAAAAGTCTGATAAAATGAAAATTTTTCGGCATGCTTTGTGTATTTCGTGATGGACTAACCTGAAAGTGTCCTATAAGTATAATATCATTTTGTATTTTTGTATTTCAATGTTTTTGTTACTGCCGAAATTTGTTTTTCTTATTGTGCTTTGTATTCGAGAATTTTTCGAATTGAGCACGTGTATGTAGATAGTACTCGATCTCTGCTATCCACCAAACACATAACTGGAATAAATTAATCTTATACAATTTCAATAAAAAATAAAAAAGTGAGACCAGACTATTGACGTGCACTGTAGTCGAGTAGATCAATCATGTTTGATTGTTTAGTTTCAATACGATTACGTTAAAAATACTTTTTTTTTGCCTTTCCAGTGCCATCATTTGTACACGTTGGAAACTTATGAAGCGATGGACGATTGTTCACGAGCAGAAATTCTATATACTATACCAATAATCGCTATACTGAAACTAAAGAATTTAAATATTGATCAGATCAAATCATTTGAATGGCTTCAGTCACCATCGATTTCTAATTTTCAAGAAGCTGATCAATTACTGATTTGGCTAAATGCAGTTGATCCACGAGGTACATTAACTCAACTTGGCAGAAATATGGCACTACTCGATATTGATCCAAAATTAACAGCCATGTTATATAAGGGACAAGAACTTGATTGTCTATCGTATGTACTGATTCTAGCTGGTATGCTAACTGTATCACAGAATATTTGGTGGATTAGTGAAGATCAAAAATCCAAAGGTATGAATTTACGAGCACGTGCCGAATTTAGTCATGAAAGTGGCGATCATATCACATTAATTAATATATATTTAAAATGGAACGCATTTTGTGCTAAAAATAAAGACAAAAGACAACAATATGAGTGGTGTAAAAATAACTGTATTAATGGAAAATCATTAGAAATAGCTTACGAATTTATTCAAGAAAAAGCCAAACAAATGGACTATAAAGTAGAACTTCATGATAGTGAAAATTTAAATGACAATGTAATTAATCGTCTTTTACAATGTATAACAGCTGGCTATTTTATGAATTTAGCTGTGTCGATTGGGCCAATGAGACCTGGCTATCAAATTATTTCTACTTTCTCTCAAACGACTAATGAATTAGTAATAGCACGTGCATTTCATACATCGACATTGTTGCTGAGTGATCAAACCCATAAGTACGTTTTATATAATGAATTATTAAGTCGCCATGGAACTAATTATCTCACAGTATTATCTTCAATTGATCTTAATTGGTTAAAATCTGTTTCAGAAGATTGGTATAAAGCTATAAATGGAGCTAATTTACATACGATTCCTTATGAAAGCTTTGCATTCGAAAATGTAGGAAGAGCACTATTGGAAGCAATCACCGGTAAAAATGCTTGTCAGTTGAATAGACTTGAAGATATCACTCAAGCCACGATTGATATTGATTATAAACAATCAAAGTTAACAATATGGTCAAGTGCAGCTAATTTAAGCAAAGCAAAGAAAATCGTTCAAGAAACTATTGAGAAAGAAAAAGAAAAATTATTGTTAGAAGTTGAAGAGATACAAATTGTTGGAAGAACTCGTATTTTAATGGGTGCAGGAGGTGTTAGTCAAATGATTTTATTCGCAGGTGATTATGTTAGAATCATCATAACAAAGCTACCGTCGACAACAACAGAAGAAAGAATCCACATATTGTGTGAACCGTTTGGAGAGAGTGAGTATTTATTTCAATTTGACTTTGAATTTCGGTCAAAGTTAAGATAGATTTGTTTTTGTAAACATTACTTCCTATACTGCATAGGAGGCATAAAAATTTCCAATTATCTGAGTTCCTTCTATACCATTTATTTGATTTAAGGTCCTCCTCCATATGTCTCATAACAAATATGAGAGAAACATTAGCAAATCATAGAAAACGCAAGGATGCATTGACTCATACTATATGAATAATATGTCACTGCAGTATTTGAATTGTTTCTATTCCATACTTCTGTAGTATTCGATTAAAATGTTGTAAAGAAACTCATTCCAATATAGATAACATAAAATTGAATAACAACAGTGATATCATCAGCATCTCATGTGTTAAACGGACAAACATCGTTCCAGCAACCTTGTTCTTATTGCAGAATAGAGTTTCTCTTAATTATGACGGGACAAACACTACAAATTATGCAAAAAGATAGTATTTTTCACTTGAGACAGCAAAAATTACACGTTAGATTAAAATGTGTCGTATTTCCTATATTTTACGTAGTGAAGTATCAGAATAATGTTTTTAAGTCGAAACTATAAAGAACCAAATCATAGCTTCAGAACTTTTACTCATGTTCTAATTATTTTAGTTCGTAAAATTGATTTTATTCGATACACCGACGATTGCTCGTGTTTTGCAGTCACATATGCAAAAGTCGAACAAGCACGTTTTGCTTTTAATCAATTGAAGGGTTATATTGAGCAAGATCGTGAAATAGCCGTTAGTAATTCATGTGTGAAAGTTGAAGCAGCTATAGGTAAGCAAAGTTATCGCCTAAAAGCTATATGGTATCTGACACAGTCCACTGGCAATGGAAGAATTTTGTTTCAAAAAGAAAAAAGTGCTCGCGATGCTTATGAACTATTTAAAAGATTACATTATCGATGTCGTTATGAGCATCTGTCTAAGCTACCTACAATAAAAGTTACTTATTGTCTTGCTAAAAGTAATCAAAAAGCTTTTATAAATTTTCGATCATTTTGGAACTCAACCAATGCTCGTTCTCGAATACATTTTCCAGAGAAGTGTAAAATTATACAAAATAGACAGAATCATGGAAGCTCATTGCTATTGGAAGGCTTTTCAGAAGATGACGATGAAGAAGATATACGCAGCCGTTTTCAAGATTGCGATGGTTTCGTTGGTGTGCAAGTTTTACGTGGAAGAAAAGGGGAAATATTTGTAAGACCTGCCTCAGCAGAAAATGATATTAAGGCAATATTTAATCATTATAAATCATTTCAACGAGATACAGTATCATTTAATCCAAAAATTTGGTATGGTAAAGTCGAAGCCACCGTTGAATTTTCGGATACAGTAGAATTAAAAAATGCAATTAAAGAAATGAATGGAAAAACAGGAATCATCGGTCATGGTAAAGTAAGATTATTGGAACAACTTCGAACAAGGAAAGAAGATGAACATGTTCTTTATTTTCAATATCTTAATCGATCATATGATAAATATGATCTTATTAAAATTCTAAAAGAAAATCAATTGTATGATGATGTAAAAACTGTGATAGTTTATCGTCAAAAGTGGGAAAATGAAAATTCGACAACGACAGGACCGAACAAAGTTCACTTTGACTTAGAAGCTTCCTCGGAAAATCTTCGTTCTTTGTTTCTTAGTAAACCAGATTTATTTCAGTCAATACCTGATTTTCAGATACCACACTGCGCATCTGATGGAACTGCCACAGCATTCATCCATTTCAATGATCCTGTTGATATCACAACAGCTATACAAACATACGATAATCAAGTAATTCAACTATCTAAAGATTCAAGTAAACTGCATCTCCTTCCGTCGATTGCACATGAAACAATTATTAGTGCAACTTTGAGAAAAACTATTCCTGATAAGATTCAAGAGGCTATTCAATATGGTCGCGAGAAATGTAAGAGAATTCGTATCAAAGTTAC